AAAAAAAAAAAAAAAAAAAAAAAAAAAAATTTGAAATTTTTTATTTGCGTGATATAAAGTTTATTTCTGGAAATAAATTTTATATCCTACAAATAAATTTACAAGTATTTTCTTTTTCTCAGTGTACAATAATGAACTTCTCTGGAATTTATGGTTGGGACATTTAGAAACTATTTAGAAAGTATCAAGAAAATATTTTTGGTTAAAGATAATTATTATCTTTTAAAAGAGAGAAAGTAAATGGGCTCTTTTCGCTTTTCTTCGCAGGAGAATATTTTCTTGTATGTGCATTAATAAAAAATACTTGAAAATTTATTTGTGGGATATATTTGTTCGTAGAAATATCATATCCCTTAAATAAATTATCAAGTATTTTTTTTCAATATAACGATTTTTTAATTGTATACATTTGTTTCTAGACATTAAAGTTATCCGTGATGCCCTACTGCTTTGTCACGTCTTTTTCCTGCTCTTCTTAGAACAATCAATAAATAATAAATCAATATCGCCGGTGATTAGAAAATTCCAATAACCGAGTTGCATGACACGTTGAAGCTTATGTCGGTCTGCGTACTTCATGCATTCCATTTTTTGCGCGATTTTTGCGAATATGCGCGTCTCTTAAGCATGTTCTCGTTACTGTTACAATTTGTAACGGTGCCAACGTCGGATTAATTGGCAATGTTCGGTTACAAACGTCCCGGTGCGCAGATTAATGGAGCCCGCACTTGCGCGCTCTAATAATAATCGAAGCGTCTTGTGATTTTATTGCCATTAATTGAAGAGTCTCGAGAAAAAGAATTTACACATTCGGGAAAATTTTGGAAAATTTGTTTCCAAAAATTTCGGGAAATTCAGGTCGAAAAGAGGAAATTCATTTGCAAACATTTTGGAATGTTTAGACCGACTGTTTCTCGCGGATCGAACAGCCCGAGAGAGTCGCGGGTCGGCGCGCGATCAGCTGATACTTTCGGACACTACGTTCGATCCGTTTCTGTTGTCGTGACGGACGCGCGAATGTCGCGTTGCAAAACGAACGTTCATTTCGCTTGACTGGAATTTCACGAATATTCTCCCACTCCTCCTTCTATCCCCACCGAGCTCCCTACCGAATGCATGATCGCGCAAACGATTCTCCCGGAGCCACACTCCGCGATGGTTTCACCGAGACGAGTGGAACTTCCAACGATATTGCACAATGTTGCACAATTCCGCGCTCGTCCGCATCGCAATCATCATCCCGCATAAGCCGGACTTGGCCGACTGGCTCTTCGCTTCGGAGCTTTCTCCCGCGAGTCAAGTTCACAGGAGTTGCGCGAGTGATTTTCTGCGGTTCGCTACTCGCGATCAAACGACCCGTGACGACTACAACGACGAGTCAATCGGTCCCCGTCGCTGTCTCTTGTTCTCTCGGACGACGAGAGGCCCGCCGCGATCGACGGAACTAATCGCGAAACGCCGTGAATGAAGCGCGCTGATCTGCGAGGAACGTGCGCGCGTGCCAGCCGCGTTTATTTTAGATAGATCAGAAACGGACGCGCCACCAAGAGATGCTACACACCGCCGTCGTTCTCGTCGTTGTCGTCGTCTCTTCTCGGGGAGTCGACAAAGAGACACTTCATTCGCGCCGCGTGATCGCAACGAGATCGAATGTCCTGCCGTCAAAGGAGGCGCCGTTCGCCACGTCGGCGCCACATGGGCTGTCAATATTTCTCGAGCTTCATCTCAGCGATCTGTTGATCGATCCCGGCGATAGTTTGTCGATGGACTTTGGTAGATCGATGGTGAATTTTCAGGAGCGTGAGATAATTAATACAAGAATTAGCCGTTGTCAAGAAGAAAGCAGCCGTGGTCTATTTCCTGGTAGAAAAGAGTGGGTTATCCGATCAAAAGCATTTGTTTAATTTCTGTTTCTCTTTTCTACGGAAGATATAAAGCTCGGCGTAAGTTAGAGTAAGAAAGAAAAATCATTTCATTTATTTCATTTGCGCGTCTATATTGCAGCTCCCTTACACCGGAAATTTCTTTTACTTTAGAGAAATACTTTCGCGATATAAGAGAGTTATAAATGATTTTTCTTCTATTCCGACTTTTACGCCAAGTTACTTCGCGTATTGTAAAGATACCGTCGCGAAATCTCCCGAGCGACACGCTTCGAGAACTCGACTTCAACGTGCGAACGCGATTACCTAACACGCGTGTTCTGGAGGATCTCCGTTCACTTTTCGGGCGCTTGCGCAAGCCAAATCGCGATGCACGATCTTAAGGAGGAGTCCCGGGGGAGAGATGCTCCCTACGATTACCTGCTGATATAGCAGTTCCTGCGCTAGTATATTCGCGATGTCGACTGGATCCATGGCGGTGGCTGCCATAGCTCGAGGGGTCGGTTATTCGTTCAGTGTTCGTTTCGTCGTCGTAAGTATGACGGTGAGATAGTGGACAATGAAAGGAAGAAGAGAGGGAGCGGCGAAAAAGGATAGGATAAAACGTATGAGGGAGGTAGGTCAAGGGCGGAAGTGAGGGAAGGGGATGGAGGAAAAAGATGATGGAAAGGGGGGTATCGAGAGCGATGGGTAAGAGAAGAGAAAAATGATATATATCTCAGTCGATCGTTCGTTCGTGAGAAGATCGTTCGGGCGTCGGGGTGTGCGCTTCGTTCCTCCTTCAACCTTCGTTCCTGGCTCCCTTCGCGAACCCCCTATTATTCCGCACCACCCTCATGCGCTCTTTTCTTCTCACTTGTCGGAGAGTCCGTCGTCACCACTGCGTCCACCACCGACGCCTCTTTAATACTGAGCGGCCGATGCCGACGCTGCTCGTCGCGTAGCCTTACGCGACGAGGAAACCTATCCTAAAAATAACCTTCGAATTTCGAGTATGTGCGCGCTCCGCGATGAACGCGCGACGAGGGATAGAGAGAGAGAGAGAGAGAGAGAGAGAGAGAGAGAGAGGGGAGAAGTGTAGGCGGGGGAGAATAACACATCTCGCAGCTTCGTCGATCTCACGTGCGTGGAACATTGACCGCTTAAAAAAGACCGTCGCGTTCCTTTAAAAGCTCTTGAATATTTCGCATTTAATACTTCGCATGCCTTGCTGTGTGCCTATCCAATAGCAATGATTTCTCCTCACCGGTTGTGCGTCTAATATCGCGTTACTCGGTATGTTTATCTTTCAATTTTATGCGTCCTATCTTGTGCGCGTGCGCGCATCAAACGCCTGAATTAACTGTTAAACTGTCGGACACGGCTCTGAGTCACGATGCGAGTATTTGGACGTGATGCGTTTGTTCCATCCGAAAACGCGCAAGTCCGAACCGGAAATCAGCGTCAACGATGCTGGGATGACAAATGATGGCCAAATGGACTTTTGTAGTAATTTGGATTTGTATTTACCAACAATGGTACGGATACAAAGTCATCGTGTGCTTGATCTATAAATGATTATAAATTGTCAAAATGTTACGCGTAATTTTCAACTTTGGAATCATTTACGCCCGCACCAACGATGAAGATCCGAACCGTGCTCTGAAATTCACGGTTTTGCACAAAGGTAAGTAGGCCTCGCGGCTATTCGCAATTGCGCACCGCGAAAATTTGCGAAAACAGCCGGCGTTCCCGCTGACTTTGTCCCCGATCAGCGGTTTTCCCGGTACGCGCGAAATTTCCTATTACGCGGCCGTCTGGAGTCTCTTAATTAGTTCGAGTTCTAAGTTTAACATCTGTGTAGGGTCGTTTGTCGTCGACGCCGGTACCCACGATCCGCGTCGACTTGGGCTTGCGCCAGATCTCCCGCCATCGGCGAACTCAAGCGTGAAACGCTTCAATCTCAAGAGATCGGAAACCGCGAAGTAATGACCGTCGCGCGTCTTTTTCGCGGTCTACTCACGACGATAAATGCGAAAAGGAAGGAAACTGAAATTTCTCAGGCAAGAACGAAATTGGCGATTACCCTTGCTGAGATAAAAAGGTTTGGTATGGTTTATAACTAAGGCTGCGTTCGAGGAGACGCTATTTAACGCTATGAGTATGCTCTGTCCTTGTTTGTTCCTGAAAGTTGAACAAGGACAGAGGACGCTCATAGCGCTAAATAGCATCTCCCTAAACGTAGCCTAAATGTGATCACGCGGAGAAATAATTAGTACAAATTATGATCGAGAAAAACACATTTTTATTAAATTCTATACTATAATGTTGGTAATAATAATAACACCTCTCTTATATGCATATTACTATACTATCATTTTAGTATAAAAAATAGTTGAGGCCAAATATTATAATTTTAGTTAGACTAATATTTTTTTTCTTTCAGTGCTTATTTGTAGTAAGTACATCGTAAGCCGATCGTATGAGCAACTAATTGCGTTTAGTTCACTCGCGTATATCTCTGACTCATATTAAGAAAAAAGGAAAATATATATTTAAAGAGAAATATATGTGTTGCGAAAGAGAAATATAAAATATGCGAAATTTTTGTTTATATGTTATGTTTCAAGCGAAAGATGAACATATACTGGAAGAAAAAATGACGTAATTGCAATTATACTCATTTTTTACTCCAACCACTTTTTTTTGTTCTAATAAAAAAATGATAGTAGTAACATACATATATACACGGTTACTATCACTAACAACATAGTAAAATTTAATTAAAAATAAAAAGATTTTCTTTTTTCTTCTTGGTCATAATTTATAGTGATTATTTCTTTACGTAATTATAAGTTACACACCAAGCATTTTTTCCTCAATGTAATCTTTGTGTTTTCTCTTGCGTTACCGTGTGTTCTTTCTGTAATAATTTAGATTCTGTTTTAACGTCCCGGAGAAACCAAGAGAAGCGGAGGAGCTTGAAACACTCGAGTCACGTTGGATGAAGTTGTTTATCTATCGCGCATGGACATTTCCAGGATGTGGCCCGTCGTATCGTTAAGAAGCCTGATGCGGCGCCACGACGATAACAGACCTTAATTCAGAAATATTTTGGAGCGTTTCACGTGCAGTTCCTATGATCGAGAACCCGTTTCACGCTATTGCAAACGTCGACAAGGACTCGAACGTGATCGACTAACGCGACTACGCTCGTCAGTGGTATGCATAATTAAAAAATAATTTAAAAATCAATTTTCAAATTTCGCGACTCTCCGGCGAATTTCACGAGTGACTTCTCGTGCCGAAAAATTAAATTATGCACAAGGATATGCCCAGCTCCCGAGCGGGTACGTTTCTTCGTTCGACGCGGTCGACATTCCTTCCGCTAGGAAATCAATACGTCGCCGCACCGCTCTGGTAAAACCTGTTCGCTTTTGTATCATTTGGAAGCCTGGCCACTATGAACACGAGATGGACATTCAAGACCGGCTTATCTCGCCTTGATATGAAAACACGTGGCAGCTAGGTTACGATAAACAATCCGCGTGTTTGACTAGTCGAGCTTGTCGCAGGTTTCTCGCCAAGCGCTATACACACATGCACGCGCACACACACACTCGCCGATCTAACGATAACAACGCATGAAAGATTACCTTCGTGCTCGTTAACGATGCAAATAACACGGGCCACACGCTGGCAGCTTTTTCGGCGATATTTGGATTTTTCGTCGGCCTGCCCGAAAAAACTTGAAAATAAACTGTCGGGCGTTTTTAGTAACCTCCACGAATATCTCCGCAGATATTCCACTCTCATCGTATTCAGTTAATTATTTATAAGTAAGGCAAAAGTGCCAATGCCTGAACATTAATAATACTGGCATGTAACTTTGGACATTCTTATTGCTTTGTTTTTTACAAACATGAATACTTAAACTTACAACGTAGAATGTATGTATTCGTTCATCATATGTATATATATTCTATATTGAAAGTTTAAATATTCGTACTTAAAGGTCATGACCAAAGACTAAAACAACAAGAATGTTTAGATTATGCTTTAGTATCCAAGCACTTTTATCTTACTATAATGAGAGAAAAAATATGTAAAGAATAGTAAATATTTATTTTTATCAATAACATATTTACCAATAACCAATTGGGCATACCAGTAACATATTTTGAACCTACATTGTTTTATTTAAACAAAATAAATAATTGTATAAAGAGCTAAAGTTTTATCGAGGTTTTAAGAAAATGTGTATATTTTCTTATTAAAAAAATAAAATTATTTTATATTAATATCGAGTGCTTAAAAACATGTTAACTTATATGGAAGTAACTTTTTTCCATGTAAATGTTAACATTTGTTTGAAGTTTTGAAATTCTCCATACAAATGTTAGCATTTTTTAAGCATCCTGAAATAAATATATTATTAGTACCCGCTCAAAAAAAGAGAGAATATTTTTATTTTTTATATACTTTTTTTTCTCACAGTGTAGAGTATAGAAATTTCTTCCCATTCTCGGATAGTTAAAATTTCGCTCTTTTGTCGAGATACGAATGGTGTCGAGACGCGAGTGAATCTGCGAGGCTGTCCTTGCGGACCCGTTTTCGCTACATCGAGTCGGCTCCTTTCATCGGATCATGTTCGCGCCCGAAGATTACGCTTACTTTTTGTGCAACGGAGAGCGATTGCGTAACGAGAAGTTAGAGCGAATCGACATCGAGCGCCAAGAGAGCGCTCCGCGATATTCATTTGCGCGTTTAGCGCACTCTCCTCTCGCTGCCCTTCCAGCGCATGCGAGCGTTTAATCGTGCCACTGGATATTACGTGGTAAATAATAACGCAACTACGTCGCCAACAGCAGCAACAGCCGCAGCAGGAGTCGTGCGCTCTCTGCGCGACCGTCGCGGTCGACGGAAAAAGCGCGTTCGAAAGCATGAACATAGGAATATAGGGACAGAGCATAAAATCGTAAGATAGGCGAGGAGCTACGATAGAGCGTATGCTCAGTACTGTATGATGCAATGACTTAGCGGTGTTACTGGCAAATAGTAAATAAATAGTAAGAAAATGGTAAGAAGTATTCTGTTGTAAAGAAATTAATAATAAAAATAGAAATATTATGTATATATTTTACAATATTATTTGTACTATTATATATATATATATATATATATATATATATATATATATATATATATAT